TCAAACAATGACTTGGCAGCGAAGTATGAAGGCCATTACCAGCAAACTCAGCTGCGCTGGTCACTGCCGTCTTCCTGGATGGGGACCCCGAAACGGGCCACATGAATGGCTAAAGACATTCTCAGACATGGCCCAGCCGCGCCCTCAATGGCGCTCGTGCATCCAAGCTATTGCCTTCAATGCATAGCTCCTTTTCCAACCCCAACCCCCCACTTGACAGCCCACTGTACCTATCCCCCCCAAAAAACATCGGTGAACGAAACTGCGGCAGCTACAACCACTGTACGACGAGTACGCGGTTCTTACAGCTGACAATGATGATGATGATTGCAGTATTCCAGTCCTTGTGCTTCCTTCGGGCGGCATGGCAGCTAGGCACCGGAAGAGTGTTAGAGCTGAGGACCTTAGTAGGGAACCAGTGTACTTTAGTACCTCTCGAGTCGACAGGCGCCAAAATTGAAACGAATGAAATCACTAACTACGCATCGATTAGGGACATAAGATCGGCCCAGACGAATCATCTAGCATGGTTTGCCGGGTAGCATAAAATCAAGGTCTTTCGCCAACGAGTACTACAAACACCTGAATTTCAGTCGAATGTGCCTTCGAGATCAACTTTTTTCCAGAGGAGTGGCTATCGAAACATGAAGTCAAGTTCATAGAGGAAGCTACTCACAAGGTTGCTGAAAACTCTTCGACAGCCCACGACCGGTTTCGCTCTTCTTGAGGGTCATTAGCCAGGCGCAGTCCCCGAGTTTCCGGCAGCCTTATGTTCTAGTCAAGTTGTTAAGTACGAAGTTAGATTGGTGAAACTTGGGGCTAAGCCCACTTGACGAGCCGAAATCAGCAGTGTGCTGTGACGTATCATACGAACACGGTAGTGTTCTTGTTTTTATATCGATCGCCACGGTAAACTATGTCGCATTTCAACTTAGTTTGTCATGCTATACTTATAAATAACAGTTGTCGTTCAGTCGTGGCGGACCTCCGGTAGCTAGCTGCCATGCTACTCGAAGTAGTCCTGAAATGCTGTCAGGTTGACCAAGTCTGGACAGGAGCGATCGACATGCGGGAGTTGGGTTCGAACTGTTGGCCATACGGTCACTAGTTTCGTGCCCTGGCCACTGAGCTATCTCGAGCTCATGTTATTGCTGTGTATACCTGACTAGACGGTTGTTTTGCCAAACCTAGGTTAGATGACCTGTGCCTTACATGCGTGCCCCCGCCCGGATGGAGTTGGCAGCTAAATTTCAGTTTCGCTCGCAGACGAGCAAGTTCCCATGTATGTCTTGACAATGCACTTTTGTTGTGGACATTTGAGGCGGCTATGACGCCGGGATACTGACTGATAAGGCTAATGGGGGCGGGGAAAAACACCACTTCAATTAGGGTGATGCAAGGGGTACTGAGCGAAAGCACACACGAACGCGACGGAATTACCACTAGCCAGGTGCATAAGACATGTAAGCCTATGCACCGGTTTGAAAGCTCAACAATGAAGACAAACGCGGACGGAGATATCACGTCCTACAGCTAGTGATTTGGTCTTGGCCCGAAAATCTCCAAAGCGTTGAACTCCCGCGTGTCTGGGATGAATAACAAAGAAGACAAGAAAAACTCGAGTAAAAAACAGCATGATTTTTGTTTGTTGTCAGCGAGGCTGAGGAGATGAACCAGTTAATATTGCATTCGACTTCAAAATGGAGAGTGGTAGATCACCGATCCACACACACACACACATGACAAGAACGACCACCGACTGACTGACCAGATAATCAGCAAACACAAGGCCGTTTCGGGTGGATGTGTTGGTACGCGAATTTGATGCAAAGTAAAGTCATCTTGTTAGAAAGACTGCAGTTAGAAAGAGATTTGTGAAGAGAAGAAACGATGCCAATCAAAACAGCGCCAGAAATGAACAGAAGTGATTCCGACGGGAAACGGGGTGGGGGGGGGGGGCAATCAAATTAGACCCGGAAAAAAAACAATACTATCATCTGGCGACGGGGATGTCAGCCAGTATGGCACATTAGTTCCGAATTTTGCGACCACCGGTGATTAAGTTCGGTTGAACAGGGGGTGGGGTGGTGGTGGTGGCGGGCACACACACGAGCCAAATGCGGGCGCAACTGGTGTCTAAGGCACGATTTACAGGGAAGGTTTGTGTGCTCTCGAGAACCGAAGGTAGGGACAGATAAGCCAAGACAGTGGTGGAGGAAAAATAGAGTTTAGCGTAACAACAATGCACCCGTATGATAAACATCTATTGCATGTTGTTGGAGGACCACGGACCCCCTTTCAAAGAGAAAAAACACGAGACGAAGTAATGATCGCTTCGGATTCCACGGAGGCCGCTGATTGGATGAGTTGTGTCACCGTGTAAGAATATGTTTATGTACACACCAAGCACGCATTCTCTTCTGCGCTTCAAGCGTTGATCGAGGCAGAAAGATTGATAACACAGTTGATCTGATTGCGTCGAATCGTGGGAAGGGACAAAAACATGTGGGACAAGCTAGGATGTGCCCTATACTAGGAAGAAAAAGGAAGTGTCCGTTCATCAAAAGAGCCCTAGTAGTTTAGTGAACTGGCAGAAACATCCTACTCAAAGGCAGTAAAGGAGAATCAGTTGCACTTCACAATACATTGGTGCGATCAACACAAGGATGAAATTCATCGTACGCAGAGAGAGTAGAAATGAAGTTCCAGAAGCGATCTTTTGAATGCAAACTGAAGACAATGTTGCTGGGGTATAGGGGGTAGGGGGAACTGAGCCGGGGGAGTATAAATGATGAAGTGATAGGGTGTCCAGCTGGTATACATGAAATGACTCTATCCGGAGGTGCCATTCAGTTCGCATCCGAGGCCATTGGGAGACGTTTGCGGTGAAAGTCTGTTGGAAACACCGTTGGCCTCCGCGTCCTGGAGCTTTGTTGAATGAGGGAACTTGTGACCCATACCGTTAGACGAGGAAGCGGTGCCAGCGAGGTTTTCAGCATCGTAATTGGAAACCTCAGGCGGATCACTGAAAGGTTGGGTGGCAATGGCAGTCTGGAGAGAAAAGGAAAAATGTGGGATCACGTAAACGGGATAAAATTCATTTCACGTGCTCAGAGTGAAGGATTGAAACAAAATTAGTGGGTCCCTCTTAGGAGACATTAGGTGAACCACTGAGACGAGAGCTTCCGCTTTGATGATTGAAAATCAGGTACGGGATTCAGTGGTACTAAATCCTTGTCATCTTAGGCCGACGGTTTAAACACTGCGTGACAGATGCAGCACAATGGACCTCCAGAGAGGTCCCCTGACGTGGACTGTACTCGGTGCTGCCGATTTGGTGTACAAAACGTATGACAGTTGTCGATAGCCGTGATACCTTGCTGTCCTTTGAGTTACACTTGGAGGAGTAGGAAGGCACCAGACTCGCCATTTGGGTGGGTGAGTCCTTTCCGGAGGTTCTGTTCGTCTCACTTTCCTTGCAACCTGAATGGAGTTGTATGAAGGCTATATGTGCATCACCGAACACAAGCCGTGTGGTGCTGAGCATGTCGGTCGTACACACACACACACACACACACAAACACACACACACGGTCATGCTACTCCGTAAGTATGCCCCAATTACACGACAAATCGTGTTTAATGATAGGCCCTAATGAAGGATACTCTGTGACGTGACTCATCCCCCGGAAGCCACAGTGGCAAAATGATTACAAAAGCAATCTACTCGGTAGCACTAGACATCGGCTAAATGAGTTGAGTGATGATTGTCGAACGAGTACTTACTAAATGGACAAAGCAGAATTTTATTGTTAGGACGGAAACTGAGACCGCCATGCGCGGAGGAGCGATAATAGCTATAAAAAAATTTTATCCAATCAAATGTATTGATGGGAGATCAGGGGATCGTAGATCCGTTCGCTCTCGAGCTAATGCGAGCTAAACATTCAAAATAATTCTGCTGTGCTTCGCACCAAAAGCGCAAAAAGAACCGTATGGAATTGGAAACAAGGAAGTGGATATAACAATGGTGGGCAACCATACTGGGCGTCGACTGCCGTAGGAAACTTCAAACCGTAACATTTGGTCAATGTCGGTAGCACACATTCCACGCATTTTTCCGCAATAAAAATCAGCTACATAACATATCATCCTCGTTCGAAGGAACATCTGTTTTTAAACCAGTGCCCGATTGCCACCCAAAAACGTTAAAAGACGTTCTCGGATAAGAACAAAGACAATATGGAAATGAACGAGGCGATCGCTTGGCCGTCAGAAACATTCATACGTGCCCATTTGTCTTGGATGGAAGCTGACAGCAAGAACGCCGTTGGCGCATCGCAGAGGTTAAGGCCTCTAAACGAGCAAACAAAATGTCAATTGGACTGAACGATACGCAGTCTTTTCGAAATCTCCACCATGAGGACCCGGGAAGAGTGAAGTGTGAGTGGCTGAGCCGCCAGATGAATTCCTCAGTTGTAATCCTGCTGCGTCCCTGGTTAACGTCCTATCAACCTCGTTCGGAACCTGTCGGTGCCAACCGTATTGCAGTACGGTTGTGAGGAAAGAAAGCGTTCAGCTGTAGCACCCTTCCGGTGCCTAGCTGCCATGCAACCCGAAGGAAGCACGAGGACTGGGAGACTGTCAGGTCGCCCAAGCCTAGACAGGGGAAGTCGAGTGGCGGAGGTCGGATTCGAACCACGGACCTTCCGGTCAGTAAATTCGCGCTCTTAACCCTTGGGCCATCTCGCCCCCAGTTGTGAGGAACGGGCTATCGACGCATCCAAGGGTCATACACAATCGTTCAGCTGTAACACCCTTCCGGTGCCTAGCTGCCATGCCACCCGAAGGAAGCAAGAGGGCTGGGATACTGCCCGGTTGCCCAAGCTTAGACAGGGGAAGTCGATAGGCAGAGGTCAGGTTTGAACTACGGTCAGTAAATTCGCGCTCTTGAGCCACCTCGCCCACTCATACACAACACAGTTTCCTGACAGAGAGCCACACCAACCACACTATCCACACAACATACCTCTGGGGGAGGGAATGTCACCTCACAACGTTGCTCATAACAAGACAGACACGAAAATGATAATGCAAACTCATGTTGTTTATCGAACAAAAGCAGTCGATGAGCACTACTCACTGAAGATACAACTAGTTGTTATGCCATGACAGTGGGGTTTCAAGTTTGAACGAGGTTTGAACCAATATCTTGTTTAATCTGTTAAACCTTGCAAACTCTGTCAATCTGTACTTTTACGGCCCTTGAGGCATAACAAAGAGCGTTCAAGATCCTAGGTGACGTGCCCCAAAAAACCTGAGCTTGACGTTTACGTCACACTGTTTCTCGGATCGGCCATCCGTCAGGTTAGATTCAACCGAACACCAAGGTGCTATGCTGTTTGAAAATACGATCAAACCAAAGACTGCATGACACAAAAAACATCTATCAGATTCGACCGTCCCATTGAATCGTGCAAAGAGAAACGGGCAACGAGAAATCCCACCGTAATCTGGATTGGTCGGACCGATTGAAACAAACGAAAGACATGGCTCTGTGTGCGTGTCTCCGCAGGACCGGCTCGACCATCAGTGAGGAGTTTTAGCTTTTAGCCAGGCAACGTACCAAGTCAACATCCGGCAGTGCCACAAATCTAACTGTGCATCACAGCAACAGTGTTGTTGAGCGACCTATGATTGATTGATTGATTCTACCGAATAATGCAAGTGGTATGCACGTGCGCCACTTACCGGTTGCATGGTTAATGTGGTTGAGTTGGAATTTCCATTATGTGTGTGGCGCTCGAGGGTCGACAGTTGCGACCGCAATCGAGCACAATTGGCCTGTTCGCGTTTTAAAGTCTCATGTTCAATCTGAACCAGACAACGGAATCGATTAAGTAGTCGAATAAGGTCTGGCTTCGGTGTATTCTCATCGTAGCTCACGGTGTCCATAATCCGGGCAACGGAAATCGAGTGCGCACTAGATCGCTGTTCGTCGATAGACTGGAGTTCTGCCTGTGCCAAATTAAACTGATGGTCAATTTGGAGCTGTAGTGAAAGAGACCAAAGAAATGTTTGTCAATGACATTCGATAAGTCCACAAGCAGGGTCACAATAAAGACCCTGTAAGGTTTACAAAAAGCACCCAAAAGTAGGCTGAGAGATAACAAAAACCCAACAGGGAGGGATCACAAACCGCAAAGTCTTAAATGTAGGCAGTGAGGCCTGTGAGGACGAGAAGTAGTTCGGCGGTTGAGGCGTAAAGCTGCTGACCGAAATGTCGGACCTGACTCCAACTTTTCAACCGTTCCTGCCTGGACTTAGGCAACTTGACAGTCTCTCGATAGCTATGAGCCCAAAAGATGCTATAGATGAGCCAATTTTCGATAATTTTGTGGACCAAATCAAGCTGTGCTCGAAACTATTTGGTTGGGAAAACCATTAGCTACGGACCGGCAAACGCTACCGAACAGGCGCGGGACAATCCGCCGATCAAACGTCGGTATTCTCTACGAGAAGGATTGTGAAACCCGAATCCCAAATCGGTTTGCTCGATCTGCTTGTGTTCAGTGATTCATGCGGACGCAAACCGAAATTTCCGAGTCTGACAATCCTTACTTCCAAGGGGAAACGATACGTCAAGAAATAAGATTGTAGATTAGCGAATATACACTCATTTGTAAACTAATTTGGTTCTTTCGAGAGATTCACCTGAACCTCTCGTTTATGAATATACATATTCATACATATTCATAAATGAGAGATTCAGCTGGGTTCCAGGTGAGTCTCTCGAAAGAACCAAATTAGTTTGCAAATGAGTGTATATTCGCTAATTTCGTGCAATTTGGTTTCAAGTAGAACATAAGGTTGACGGAAACCCGGGGAATGCGCCTACCAAAAACATCCAATCCATCCATCCATACAGTAAAAAAATCGTTCGGCTGTAGCGCCCTTTCGGTGCCTAGCTGCCATGCCACCCGAAGGAAGCACGAGGGCTGGGATACTGCGAGGTTGCCCAAGCCTAGGCAGGGGAAGTTGAGAGACGGAGGTCGGGTTCGAACCACGGACCTTTCGGTCAGTAAATTCGTGCTCCAACCACTGAGCCATCTCTCCCCGGTACCGAACAGGACAGATTGAAATTCGGGAACTGGATCTACCTGCTAAATCCAAAACCGGTGGCAGACTGTCCAAAAGTATTCAACAATCTTGTGAGTGGACGCGGTTATTACAAATTTCATGTGTCCATCCCTTTCTGTGGCATCCCAAAATCTTTGTACCTGTACTCAGATATACGAGAGGATTCAGTTTGTTCTTCTCTCAGGGTTGCCAAGGAGAAAGCAATATTGTGAGTGACGTGACTAAACACCGCCATATCTTTTGAACTCTCATAAATAGACACACCGAAAATTCGTCCTGTATCGATTCGGTTTTCAGTTTTCCTACTATTGAAGTAGGAGAGCAGAGCTAATGAGGGAAGCGAAAGGTATGGTATAACCATGTCATGTGAGCGATCGCGCAACACACATTTGACCAGCTCTAGTGGGGTGGGACATCCTCCTAGGTGGTCGTTGGTAGTTTGTTTTACAGCGGATGAGACGTCACTATAAAGATGAGTATCCACAAAAAAACCCACTGCTGCAGAGCAGGGGTCGTGGATGTCCTGAAAATTTAACAGGCGAAACCCGTTCCAAAACAAACAAAGATTGCAAACATTTGCAGTCATCTCCGGAGCAACAACCTCGTGTGTACCACGCAGATATAAGCCAATGCATTTGCTTTCGAAAATAAGTAAAATCAAACTAAGAGTTGTAGGCCAGTGACAGATGAATCAGATGAGAAACCCCTATTCCACTTGCGCGGCCGCGGGATCCAGAACAGGCCCAGAGCTGACAGTATGTAAAATTAAAAACTACCGTTCTGTGTAAAAATGGTCAATTTATGACCGTTGTCACCATTGAATAACAGACAGCGGTCGACGCCTTTACTTGAAGACGTCCCTATCGATCTCTCACAATTCCTTCGAAACAATGAGCCAGAGTCACGATGGTGCAAACCGGTCTCGAAATTTGTTGAACTCCTAAGAGGGAGCTGTAGAACCGAGACAGTCACAATCAACCAAATATCAGTTCAGAACAAAACGGAGTATAGCAATGAAGACCCATTTGCGAATTAAGTGAGCGGTGGCGACAGATTCAGTTGAAACTCCCCTGAATATGTCGCCTATACGACTACTGCTACTACTAAAGACACGAGGTTCCGGCAGACTTCCAGTGAAGCTCCGGCCAACACCGACTTAAACCGCACTTGACTGTCTGTCGTATTCAAGTACAGAGAAAAAGACTGGTAGAGGCTAGGCCTACGAGATAGGACTCAGGAAGGAGGAAACCGGCAGTGTGCATAAATTTCATCGACCTTAGGTGTAGTGTCATATGAAGGAAACAACAACAAAAGCGCACATGGGTGGATGAGCCGGTAGTACTGTAGCTACCCTTTCGCCACATACATGATTTTACAGGTCACCGCCACTCGCTGGATCACGAGATCTATTTTTTTCCCTTGCACTCACAAATCACGCTACAATCGTGACTAACTTGACTACACAGCTCACAGGCAAGCCCTTCATCCCAAGACCGCGTTTTTTTCCCTAATGGTACAAACCACGATACACATCCGATATCGACTGTCTACCGTCTGATACGGTAGCAAAAAGTCATGTGCTGACACCCACACACACGCAAACGTCCTACAAATAGGATGCCAGCACAGCAACACGACACAACTCAACAGAGCTTCGCACGTCGCCCAGCTCGGAGCAGAGCCGCTCAGGATTTTTACGGCGTTTCACTCACGGATAGTCAGGGAATACGTGTGGCTGTTACAACAGCGAAGAGGACACGAAGCCTGCATCCGGATTTACAACAAGATTTATCAAACTGTACCTGCAAAACGATAAGTCCCTTGTTTGCATATATATCTATTGTAATAATTTTACTCAACAAGCAGACATTGTTAGTGCTCCCCGTTTTCTCGTTCGTATAACTAGTTTTCGGGTTCCGTTAGAGCATTAACAGTATCACTTCAATCAACAAGGAATGCCTGTCGATCAAGGCCCGGACCCTGGTATGTACTAAATAAATCGACGCATCACACATGCACAAACCGGCAACATCCGCTAGTCCATTCATTGGCTGACATCCAGACGTCGCCGCACAGATGCCGGCCACGTCTGGCCGGTAAATCAATTAGCCCTAAACACACGTCCCACAAGTGCGCTGGTTGCCCAATCCGCAGGTAGCAACTACCAGCGGCTACGTCTGCGATCGATCGGCGTTCCACTGTGCACGCGAAAATAGACCACCCCCTAAACAGCTGCTCGTTTGTCGAATTGATCGAACAAGATTGTGAATAGGGAAGCATCCAACTTTAAGTCGGACCCGGTGCGAATGGCGATGAGGTAATGCCGGTGTATCGCAACGCTTGATGCTATAGGAAGAGAGCAGTTACACGGAGGTGTTGGGTAACACGGAGCAAGTACATACTTCTTGTATCGTCTTATTCAGCTCGTCACGTTCTCCGGTTAACGTGGATACAGTGGCTTCAAGCTTGGCAATCTTCAGTTCCAACTAGAAAAGAGGAGATAGTACGGGAATGGGGGAATTAATTAAACTGGTTGGATGAATGGACATGAAAAGGGGACTGAAAAATGTCAAGTACAACTGATAGAAAAGTGCTTAGGATGGGAAAAAATCGCTCAGCTATAACATCCTTTCGATGCCTAGCTGTCATTTCACTAGAAGAAAGCACGAGGGCTGGGATACTGCCATATTGCCCGGGATAAGTCGAAAAGGCAAAGGTCGGGTTAGAACCACGGACCTTCCGGTCAGCAAATTCGCACTCTAACCACTGAGCCATCTCGCTAAGCACGGGAGAGGAACGATGAATGGGGATCTGCTGCACTTTTCCCATAATCCCTGACCCAGAAAAGAGAAGAGGTACATAACTTCGAGTAAAAAACGAGCTGCGAAACCGCTCAGATAAACTTGAGTCAACATTGAACATAAGTAAACGCGAGTATAAGCGCTAACTAATGCATTTTTCTGTAAGTTACTGTGCTGGGCTTGGCCAAGGGTCCACGCAGACGACCTAACTACTTGATGCATCCATTCAGGATTTGGTTTCTGAGGTTACCGGCCAATGGAAAGCAACATCCCTCGTGCTGGTACTTACAACTCCCCATTATTCATTCGCTCTGTTTTTATCCCTGAGTTATTGATTTGTTCTCTTCGGATCGTTTGATAGATGGGGAACCGTTCTCACAAACGCCTCTTCACCTGACAATTCATTCTCTACCCAAATTCAAATTCACTCCACTGTCAAGCTACAAGCAAGATCGATGCTTACTTCTTAAAGACCTTCTTGATTCACCACTAGCTGAAAGTGCCTTCACGTTTTTGTGCACATTAGTCGTGCGAAAAAGGACTCCTTTCCGCTGTAATTCACGCAGTTTGTGCTTGGGAAACACATGCAGTTCGTATCCACCCAATTAAACTTGAGTAACATGACAAAGCCATTTTAGTAAGTGTTATCTAGTTCCGATTTGGTTTGATGATTCAGTCACGTGATGTAGATTATGAGGCAATATGAGTGTGGTGGTAGAGGATAGCACACAACAGAACAGAATGTGAATACGCGACTCTCGTGGCCTTCGCAGTCACCTTTCCAGGTGAATATTAGAAAGCCCGTTCCGTTACGAGACATTGCTACCTGAACTCAATATACCTATGAGGATTATGTTGTGAACTGCGAACAATGCATCGCAAGATGCATTCGCTAGATTTTTAGCGTTGGAGTGTGCCGCTGGAAAAAGGCTGAAAAGTACCCAACTTACAAGTTCACACTCCATCTTCGAAGCTCCCAGGGCCTCGCGCCACCGATGCTCCTCTTCATCCACGGAACATTGCAATTTCGATAGCATGGTCTCGGTGACATCCAACGCAGACTTGTAGTGGGCGACTTGGGCTTCCAAGTCGGTGAACTTGTGCTCCGTCTCATCCACCTGCGCTGTCACGATGGACTGCATCACCGGTTCTTCCACGGGTTCTCGAACGGTCTCGGAAGGTTCGTACTCAGTGGAAGGCTCGGGATCTGCTTGTGTTGTGGCATCCACACACGCTCGGGGTTCGGCAACAACCGGCTGCGTGACTCTGCAACAACAAAATTGGAGATGCCGACAAAATAGAATAGCCAAAAAGCATTGCACTCACGCACAGAAATAGATGAAGGGCATAGAAGAGCCGCGCAGTGACCGCAGAAACCTGAGGACGAGTCATAAGAGTTAAGAAATCTCTGTCAAGTATACGTCTTACCAGGCAGTTTAGGTGCCGTGGTTGTCTGTCCCAGTTTGGTCAGTCCACGACACGATACGGTACTAGTGCATGGGTGGAATCATAGTGTGGAACCAAGGAAGTAATGGCCTACTGGAATGGACACATCGGAAGTAACACGAGTGAATGACACAGTGTACTGCCTGGAGCCACGAACCGTGAAAAAACGCTGCTATATGACTACCCGGAAGCCGCGTAACGACCTCCAAAAGAAAGGGCCGAAGTAGCCAGATAAGCGTTCAATCGAAGGCCACCAAAAACCTTAGTTGAACATAAAATTGTGGAATGTATTTTAACAAGGCGCACGCGAAGCACTAAGAGAATTAGGCACTCAAACTGGTGGCTTCGTGTGAAAGACTCTTCCTAAATTCGAGGTTATCGCGATCGCAAACGAAAAAACCTAATCTATCAGCTTACGAGTCTGGATGAGTTCGCATAGCTTCGGCCAGGTGGAACTCAAACTGTTCCCGTTTGGCACGTTCCTCATTCAGGGCCAATTCCAAGTCGACAACCTTGGATCGTTCGTCAGCTGATTGTTGACTTTGTAAAGCCAGTACGGCGTTCGCTTGGTTCAACTCTGAAGTCAAGGTCGCTACTGTAGACTCTGCAGCTGCTTGAAGAGTTCTGGCTTCTTGTTCGCGCTCGCGAAGTTCGACCAACTCCGACTCCAGTTGGGTCAGCTTCTTGTCCGACTCCATTAGGGAGGCCGTACGGTCATGATCCAACGATTGGACTCGAACCTCCGCATCTTGAAGTCGTTGTCGAAGATCTTCGGCGTTTCTCCGCACAGAATCCATTTCAGCGACGATAGCCTGACAGATGAGAGCGGTCAAACCATTAGTAGTCTTTCAAGCGTCCGAATTCCAAATAAAACAATACGAATTTTTTTTAAAAAAACACCCACTTACATGATGCTTTGCGTTGAGCAGGTCAAAGTCAACACCCACTTACATTATGTTTTGCGTTGAGCAGGTCAAAGTCCTGAGTTAATCGGTCTTTATCCAATAGCAAACTGGCACGTTCTTGGTCCCATTGCTAGGTGGGTGGGGAGGAAAGGACACATAGGGATTAACAGGACCGTTAACTTTGCAATCAACCAGCGGTATAGTATCACATCGTAAACTACAGGCATTATACTAACAATATGAACTCAAAAGAGTTCGCTAGTTGAAGCATGGACTATTGATCAACACGGATAACGCTTCGGATAGACTCATGAATCTACGTATAGTGAGTGAATGGATAGAGTCACAGCCCTCGACCAACGTCCTGTCGCTATGCGCCGGAAGAACTACACAGGCGAGTCTTCCATTGGTTTTCAGGAACTGCTGAGCATCAAATACACCATCGTCCCAAACTCGTTCTTTGTTGACCGGCAAATACAAACGACCTTATAACAAAGACAACGGTCAGTGATGCCTCACCAAAGACAGTTTTCGCCCAGTCCGTTAAATATTTCACACAAAGTTGCACTCCCAGCCAAGATGAATGATGCTGTAGATGAACACTTTTCCCGTTTTTTTTCCTTTCCATAATGCGGTGGTTTGTTGAAAGTCGCGCACAGTCTCGAAGGCTTTCCCACAGCTTTAACCACCAAATTCATTTTCAGTTGCAGAATGTTTAAGACTGTAGATTGGAAACTGTCTTTATCACTGCAGGACACTGGATAGGGCAGGGAATTCAACTGAGAGAGCTTATGAAAGATCGAAGCTGGGTCACTGAAAAAGGCATCTACCACCTTATCCACTCGGCGACTCTGAGGTCCGCGAGTCTGATGAAGTTTTCTAATCAATCACCCCGGTTATTTACGAAAGGCCTGCCATAACCGGGTGGCACTAGTAGCCACACTCGCCTCTAGGATTCCGCATGCGAATATTTAGCACAGCCAGTCTGGGATAAAACAGACAGGATGCCGCGGGGGGATGGAAACCGATAATTAAAGCCGTTTTACTCGCCAAGTTGAGATCAGATGCACCAGTGTATGTGGTCCATGTGTGGGGCAACCAAGGCTAGAAACGAAAGTGGCCGTGGAACACCTTTTTGCAAGTTCACGCAATGCCGGTCAAAGTTGAACAACTGCACAACGAGAGTAAGTCGTATTATATTGTTCACGTGATACGTAACTATGACCCCAGTATTGCGAGTTTCGCCCTGCCTCCTGTTGCTCTCCCTTCGTATGTGTCCAAAAGTGTACTGCGTGCGAGTGGCCGCTGGTCTGTGCACGTTTTACTGATCTGGTAGCTAGCTCCATGAATGCCATGGGGCGAGATGGCTCCAGTAGTTAGAGCGCGAATTTACTGACGGAAAGGTCTGTGGTTCGAACCCTACCGATGCCTCTCGACTTCCCCTGTCTAGGCTTGGGCAACCTGATAGTATCCCAGCCCTCGTGCTTCCTTCGGGTGGCATGGCAGCTAGGCATTGAAAGAGCGCTACAGCTGAAAGATTGTTATCGATTGTGTAAAAACCCGACTTGAGTGGCATGATCAGCGACAAAACAACATCAACCGTCTGCCGTCGCACAACTAAAGTTTGTGTAGATGCTTCACACTGGAAGGGAAAATAAAATCTCACAGAGAAGGCACTTAGTGCGTATGGACTATGTGGTGTCTACACGCTCTCTACAACACTCTGGATAGAAATTGACCAAAGGAATGCCACAACCAGCAACGCCCGAACCCTTTCTGATCGTTTTCATACCCTCTTGTCAGATTAGAGATAGACCAGCTCGCTGTTTGTGCCACTCCGGAGTGAGTACAGAACGCACAGTGTCGCTCAGCTGTAGCACCCTTTCGGTGCCTAACTACCATGTCACTCGAAGGTTGCACGACGGCTGGGATCTGCCAGATTGCCCAAGCCTAGACAGGGAAGGTCAAGAGGCAGGGGTCGGGTTCGAACCACGGAACCTTCCGTCAGTAAAGTTGCGCTCTATTCATTTATGCCATCTCGCCCCGGAAAGCATAGGACCCTTTTCAACAAACGATGACCCAGCACTACATGACCAAGCCATTGCAAGTTTTGGTGCTGGACGGTTTTTTTAAACTGCAATAACTGGTACATAACTGACACTCGTTTCCCGGTTATCTTCTTACCGCCCAGCCTACATGGACTATGGTTGCGAGAGGACGGTTGTCAAAAACCTCAAGATGTCTCAGGTCAGCTGCTCCCAAAGTCCACGTCTGAACTGCGTCCCTTGAGCTTCAGAGACAGACCACCTCGCTGCCATAGGTGGTCAAAATTGAGCGGACACAACCCCAGTCTTGGACTTTCACGCACTACCATTTGTAGCAACACAGTTGGAGAGCTCCCAAAATTTTGAGAACACAACGAATCCATGTTCACAAACCTTCTGGGCATCCCTTGTTCGGATGTGATAATGAAAACAGACCGAGCAACAGGGTCAGATGCACCTTGAAATTTTCAGGAATACCTAAAGTGAGTTGACCTCACGAACCTTCATGAGACCCCACTTGGGATACATGACGCCAAGAGCTTCGTCAAACAACTTGAGTTCAGCTGCTACGCCTGTGACTGACACAATCACTGAAGGCTACATTTCCGATTCATCGATTTATCCCAGTTGTCTGAGACAGCCCCATTACTGGCGAATAAATCAGACAAACGTAAAGTGAGGACCTCACGACATCCTTACACAATGCGGAGAGAGGCCAGTTGGACCAGGAGTCCCTAAATCTAGATCAAAGCCAAAAGCCCGACTGTAAGACAACCGGGTTTGGCGGGAAAAGCCAAGTTTTTAAAAGACGATTTGCCACACATGCTCCAACTACCAGCCCAAGGGGCCAAAAGACTGTTCGCCAGACCACTGATCATTGGCCAACTTGATATAAGAGTGCAGAGTTGTAGTGTCACCCACCAGTTTAGTTCTCAGTGGGTCACGAAGACCGTCACAGCACGGTATCTTCCTTGCCGAGGCAAAAACCTGCAGATGATGGAAGGTGAGTGTCGTGGTGAGTGGCGTACGTACCGCGACTTGGTCAAGGTGACTAGAAGCCTACTTAGTCAAAATCACCATTCAGCTGTAGCACCCTTTCGGCGCATAGCTGCCATGCCACCCAAAGGAAGCACACTGGCTGGGATACTGCCATGTTGCCCAAGCCTAGACGGGGGAAGTCGAGAGACAGAAGTCGGGTTCGAAATACGAACCTTCCGGGGAGTAAATTCGCGCGCTAACCACTGAGCCACTTCACCCCTATCGGTAACGGTATCTTCATGAGAATGTAACGAACGGAAGTGAATAAGCATGCGACTCGATTGTAACTACCATTACCATCATCAATATCAGAGATAGCAACATCTGTGTCCACATCCATGCTTTGCAACCGCACAGCTACAAAGTTTACTCATTTGGATTTACAGGCAACGAACTTACATCTTTTTGAGTCAACAGCGTATTGTACTCGCACCGCGCGCGTTCAAGTTGCTGTGCGGAAACGTGTTCATTCTCCTAAAGGACAAGCAGAAGGGGCAAATCAGACTACTTGGAAATATCTACCACCATCGATTAGTAGCGCACCGGATAAATCGAACAAAATAACAACTGACCACGATTGTCAGTCAACATACCAAATCGATAGTTCATTTCTGGTAATGGGATAAACAACAACAATTCTTCGAGAGAGGTAAACGCATCAAAGCGTATTGATCACTGGGCCGCCTGGCCCACATCTGAACAAAAAAACACCGCCAACAGAACAATCACGTACGAACGAGGCGACCCGTATTCAGGCGTGGAAGGTGAATGGTTCAGCAACGAAGGGGATAAAGAAAGTCCGTCGCAGTCAGTGAGAAACGTTTGAGAGGACTTTCGTATCAAATGAACATTCGGCGTGCCGACAACCGCACACACCCGACCCATGACGAATGCCCATGAGGAAAAGGAGACTCGGGGCTGGTCACTTTTCGCGGAGACCGTATAGTAGAAAAACTAATGTGGATTCCCGCGCTAGCGCGATCCCCCTTCGGAACGGTTGTAACCGAAATTCTCACAGTTAGAATACTTATTCGTCTCACCACTCCGTAGTCTCTCATGTACGTCGCCACCTCAAAGATTCCCCTGAAGACAAGACAGCTGGCCGGAGAACACAAAGAAGTATTCCTGCAAAATTTGGAGCCCGCCACCTACTAAAGAGACATCATATATTTTTCTTACATGGTGGTTTTGGCTAAGGATGCACGAGGGCAGAGAGATGTTGCCCAAGACCATTTAGGAGTAGTCGAGATTCCGCCATTGGGTCCGAACGATCACAACTCCGATCAGTAGGTTCGAGTCTTAATCAGAATAGCACGACGGTTACAATAAGATTGGTAGATTGTGGTAGTACCGTATAGATACCCCAGGCTTGTTTTGCACAAATTAACTCAGTAAGAGTGAGTGAGTTCAGGCAGCCAAGGGACAGTGTGGAAAAGTGTTGCCCCAGGGAGATTTTTATAGGATTAGGCGATTGGGACAGCACATTCTCACCTCATTTTTTCGGCGTTGTATTTCACTCTGTTGGATCAGGTCTTGCAGCTGTATTTCGATTTGGGCCCGCTGCTCCTCCGATCGATCGGCTCGCTGGGTTTGTGCGGTCAACTCTTTCTGCAGTGAGTTCGCAAGTTGGGTCGATTCACGTTTGGCCACATTCATTTGTTTTGTTGTCGTGGCCAGACGTGCTTCGAGGTTCTGTACAAAATGATATGAAAAAATGAGGTTCAACTGAATGCAAGCTTGGAGATTAGGTGGGTGGTCGGAGAGTAATGAGGACTGCCACTAAGCACAAGCTGTTTGACCGAGCCAATTGGACTCTCGATGGAAAAAAAACAATGATTCGCTTTAAATCACCGACTTTCTTGCCCAGAATGTCTAAATTTTGGTAGAACCTAACACACAGACTGACGGTCTTTTAGCTCATCATATATCGAATTACGCCACAGCGCACATACCTGACTGATCTGGAGAGTAGTGCACGATGCCAAGCAGGTTGTTTTTCTGCTTGGTTTTTGACGCAAACCGATGTCTTCAGAAAAATCCATGTTGTCGTTTATGGGGAACTTTTGACTTTTGAGCAACAAATAAGCAATCGAAGACCCTTGAAAATAAATAAAAAATAAATCGTTCAGCTCCAACACCCAGTGCCTAGCTGCCATGCCACCCACAGGAAGATTGAGAGCTGGGATACTGTCAGGTTGCCTATGCCTACACAGGGGAAGTCGAGGGGCATAGGTCGGGTTCGAACCACGGACCTTCCAGTCAGTAAAATCCCTCTGCGCCATCTCGTCCCTTGGGGCCAATTTTGTCGAATGACCGCAATTCAAGCAAGGGTAGAGCTATGCAGAGTCACTCCCCTCTCTAAAACACTCGGTCACAACGGTGATCCGATACAGCTAGTTTGACATCTATCCACCTTTCATGCAGTTGTCGCCCACAGAAGATGGCATATAAATAATATCACTTTACAGCCTCTTAGTCAAATCGCCATTGATGAACGTGTAGTAACGGTATTTTTCTCAGCTTAGTTCTCGGTCTGAGCCTCCTAAGGTATATTAACGCCCAAAACGAAGTCAGCAACGCTTGTACAGCGCTTCATATATATAGCGTAAGCGGCAATCACGTTCTGGAAATTCTGACGCTCTCTGCATGCGCAATTGGCAATCGGAATTCGCCAAATACCGGGTAACGATTGGCTGCTGGGTCCAGACTTTCGACCAATCGGATCTCGGCTTGATGTCGGACCGGCAAGCGTCCCGAACTTTTGGCCAGTCTTATGTGGGACGGGCTTCTCGGCCGTAGCAGCACCTGACTGCTAGCGGTAAAGCGGGATCCGTGTGAAATTCCGCCTAACAGAACGGGACCGTATTTCTTGAACTGGGGCTAACGCATTCTCCTGTCAACTCAACCCGAGCACAAAGTGAACCACATGCACGAAGGCGACAAAACAAACAAATCTGAAATTTCCTGTATAGCCGTGACTTTAGTTTTCTAAGGGTTTTCTAAGAGGTGTAATTCCAAAATGGGTTAGGGTTCTGATGATCGAATCAATGAATGAACAACAGCCTGAAGTCTTGACACTGAGACCTATTATATAGGCTGATGACTCACAGTGAATGCAAACGCACACTGAGTCATCTTCAACACTGTCATCATTTTTGACAGCAATACACCAGTAATACATAATGCCATAAGAGACGCACCAGACGTCGATCGATAGAATATCTATAGTACAAGCAAGAATAGGTTGTCGGTCTCTCATTAAAGGCTGCAACGGAGGTCTGAATACCGAACGCGGAACGGTGAATGTGAGCAGTGGCATGCAATTCCCTAGTTGCCTGAATGACTTGCCCGCAGCTAGGATGTACATTAGCGTGCTCGCCAAATGGGAAGTCAGGCCGAAATTCAAGAGATGACAATGAAGAAAGATTAGAGCGGTCGAATGTTCTCGGTTAACCACCCTGCTGCATGCATCGTGTAAGGCAACCCTGCGGACAGCACCACGCAACGGCCCATGTGGTATGGAGGTATTCTTATCCGTGAAGTTCACGATTGTATGTGAGCCGAGACACTGTCAGGACACCCAAGACTTGACAGGAGAATGATTAGGGTCCCCAGCCAAGGCGTTTGGCTCAAAAGCCTGCAAGCCTGCAAGGCAGCGGTGTTTGGCTTGAGACTATTCGAGTAGCCCACATTTTATTAGAAAAATTACCACACTTGTTCCGACCCATAATATAGGGAGTCAGGAAACCGCGTTTGTCGGAACGACATCCACTGATCAACCTGACAGGAGACCTTGCCCCTGCACAGCTCAATGCGTTGCGGAGATACGTCAACCATCGCACCGCATCTCTTCGCGACGGACACAGGGCCAGACGCGTAGACCACAAAAGGTCTGATCAAGGTCAGGCACTTGTTCAAAAACAGCTGAGTGACCAGAATGTACTGGTCGAAAGCGGACAACCTACCAAACATGAGCAGTTCAACGAATGGACAGAGCAAATGGAATGGCCACGGGCCAGATTTGTGCGGCCAAAAGTGATCAACTGTCATTCGGGAAGAACTATGGAAAACTTTATGAAAACAAACGTACCAACGAGTTGCAAGATCAAGAAGAAAGTCGCGGAAAAACAGTGTACTCACTTCGTTCCGTTGATGTGACAGAGTAATCTCTTTGGCCAGACGAGCTATTTCATCTTGCAGCGTTCGCAGCAACACTGAATCAGGACTTTGAGATCGTTGTGGGTTGGATGCTTTGACGAGAGTTGGGGTAGAATCAAGCTTGGGCTCGGGTCTGAGAGGCATAACAAAAGGAAGGATGATGATGATGATGACTACAAAATGCAACATGGTTAAAACACGACGCAAGGATGAATATTTGTATCGCAAACGTGCAAGGGGTACCCGGCCAACAGAGAAGTCCCTCAAAAATGGCTAACGTGTCCCTCTCATGCGAATTTTCCCGTTGGCAGTGTACCACCAGTATCTCATCTCATCTATCCAACAATAACTATGTTTACGAAGAACGGGGAAAGTGAAAACTGCCCAGTACGACAACTGCATTCTAGCTAGCTACGATGAAGCGAAGGGTTCGGAATTCAAGCATTCCTGGCCTCACGATTGAACACAATCCACAAATGGCTGGCCCCATGGCTAGTGTGTATTGTCACCAGCAGACAGTTGGTTGATTTAATGGTTCCAGCTAGCCCTAAAGATCTTCGAGTAGCGGCTAGCTGAATCAGCTGATGACAGCTCAGCTGCCTGATTCACTGCAGATTGCTCAGCTCAGTTCATGGAAGAAACACGGTGAAACGAAAGGGTAAAATTGATGGAAACTAGGGGATTGTATCTATTTGATGAGAACCGGTGATGGGCAGAGTTCAGGAACCTTATGAGTAGTGTGTTCCGCCAAGAGTTTCGGAAATTTCCCTTGTTTGACACTCTAATCACAGGATTGCTGAAAACTCATCGACATTACGTACCGGAAATCTGAAAATACGGAGCTATGTAAGAACGCGATATCACATGCCAATTTCACCCGGCAGGAAGCCGTAGGCTCAACAAGGCAGGCACTATTACCGAAGAATCGCACTATATTGGAAAGTGAGAAGCCGGTAAGTTTGTGGTGGCGAGGAAACGAGCATTTGACTTGTGAATGACTGTTGGAAGGTGAAACCATTTCAAATGCATACGATTGATGTGGTGCTGAACTCGCGTCCTGACCACAAAGTAGGCAAGACTACCCGATGCTTTAAAAACAGAAATAACATTTGGTATTTTTTGTACTACTCATAGCATAGGACCGAGGAACAGCAAATCTAGCAGCGAAATCAAAGGAACCAACGAATACGCTCAAGAAAGCGACTCCGGAGGCGAGATGACTCAAGTGGTTAGAGCGCGAATTTGCTGACTGGAAGGTCCGTGGTTCGAACCTGACCTCTGCCTCTCGACTTCCCCTGTCTAGGCTTGGGCAACCTGGCAGTATCCCAGCCCTCGTGCTTTTTTCGGGTAGCATGGCAGCTAGGCACCGGAAGGGTGTTACAGCTGAGAGATAACGGTTCCAGAAAAATGCGACATCCAGAGTCCAAGGCCGTTCGCTGCCCGGCTACGTTTGACGAAGATGAGCATAACATGAAGCTAAGAGCCGTTTTATTCAAAATGGTTATTCCCGGACCTGGAAATCCTAATCCAACTGACGGGAAGAAATGAAGTGAATCGGTGGAATCATCTCCTCTGAGTAATGGCACATGTACACGTCTCAAAAACTCAGAACAACAAGTGGCTATGAAAAAAACACCGCAGAATAAATTAACCCCAATCCGTGTATTCATGTGAACGTTAGAAGTCTCGACCCACAGCCAAGCATTTCATCAGTGTGAAACAGTGGGGACGTAAAGGACAACAAGATAAAGGATGGCGAGTGATGTGGTTCGGTTCGCCATGATCAACTGGGGTTTCCTCCAACAAGGACGAGATCTGGCTCACTGAATTCCTATCTACATTGTCGTGTCAAGAGCAACAGACTACGAGCAAAAGACGAATCTTGCTTAGCTGATGGCGCCATCGAACGAACGATCGGGAATAGTCCCCGGACCGCAGGAACTAAACGATCACCGGTTTAATGGCAATTTTCAACACAACGAATTACGCAACGAAATTTATCGACCGACGAAGCAGAAAATCAACACTCTAGCGCCGGAAACAACTCCTAGCTGATACCAAGCTAATCTGTTACCATTGCCTTAGGCGTCCTAACAAGCTCAGAAAGACTTTCTTCAAACGGAGAAAAATGGTCAGTCTGACAGCTGTATTGTGGGCGTGGGGGGGGGGGGGGGGGTTAGAGCGCGAATTTACTGACCGGAAGGTCCGTGGTTCGAACTCGACCTACGCCTCTCGACTTCCTCTGTCTAGGCTTGGGCAACCCTGGCAGTATCCATCCCTCATACCTCCTTCGTTTGGCATGCCAGCTAGGCAGCGAAAGGGTGCTACGGCCGAACGATTGTGGGCGTGGTCGAGTAACCCGATGGGTTCACACACGACAGCAATCATAGGGTAGTGTGAAATTCCACAGTCGGTCAAATTCGTCCTTTGAGAGGCAACGCTCATGTCATTCATTCAGGAACACATTTGGAACACATTTGTGGACTCTGACCACTAGTGTGAAAACAGTCGGTCAAATTCGTCCTTTGAGAGGCAACGCTCATGTCATTCATTCAGGAACACATTTGGAACACATTTGTGGACTGACTCCACGCGCTCGTCCGGAGTCGCTTCTCCCTACGTTTCCCGGGGTCGCGTAAGGTGCGGACAAATCGCATGGCAACTGAAAGACTGGCAGATCCGGATGTCAGACGAACTTACAAGAATCGTCTTCTAGAGTCTCTTCCAAGTGCTCCACCATCAGATGTGAACTCAT